TTACGTCCACTTGCCACCTAGCCGTCCTCCGCATCATGGCCTTTCTCCGGGATCTATATACGGGAGCTTTCCCAGTCTGTTCTAGTTGGTACCATTCATTCAAACCCTACTTGGCTTTTGACTGGACCATCGCTCCAGCTGCCCTGCCAGCCCCTCCCACATCTCCCTCGTCCTCAGAAGCCTACGTGTCCGTCCTCTGTCCTCTATGCCTGCTTGCCGTCATTGATCACCTCCTAGGAGGCCAGCCTTGCTCACCTTTGCAGACTTGCTGCCTGTGCATTCCACCTTTGACTTTCCCCTGCAAATGGGAGCTCCATTTTTACAATAAAGTCTGGCACCTTGTCACTTGCTGCTCTTTAAGCCCCGCCTGTGGTCTGACTTCTGTTGTCTTTACCCGAGCAAATTTAGGGCCTTGACCTTTCCCTTATCCAATGCACAGACACCCTAAGCTCCAAGCTCCAAGCCACGGCTTCATATGGGAGTGTGAGATGCTGCACTGGCTGGTGTTCCCAGGCCCATTCCCCTCCACTGTACCACAGCCAGCCCCTCTTGTCCATGGTCGCCTTGCTCCGAGGATACCAGGAGACCGTATGGAACTGCACATAGACACACACCTACCCCATCCCGTGGAACAGCTGCACTGACAGCGTAGCGCAGGAACACACACGCTTGCACATAAGTGCATTCATGTCACTATCGCAAACATGCATCTACACACAAAGCTTCAAACCGTTTTCTTATTTCTCTTTGATGAAGGAAAACCAGCTAGACGTCTCTTCTCCCGTGCCCCTCCCTCTCACCTTGTACTTTTCTAGTCTCTGCTGAGGCCCTTTGACCTCCCCCTCAGTTCACAATGGCTATGGCTCATCTCTCCTGGCCGCGCCCACACATCCCAAACCTTTGTACAAGCCTCTCCTCTGCCTAGTACGTCTGTTATTTCTAGCCGTACCCAAGGACACTGTCCTGGTAGAACCTGGGTGTCACCCTGGGAACTCAGTTTCTGGGCCAGGAGACATCAAAATATGCGGTCACCCACTGAGCCTCTACCTCTGGCTGGATGACATCAGGTTCCATTCTGAGATGTGAGGAGTCCCTCAAGACCCAGGAAAACCCAGGTAGACTCAGAGAAACGGCTGGCAGGAGCCTGGCCTCAGCTGCTGGGACTTACTGAGGTTCCATTTAGAGCGTGGCCAGACTTCTGCATCCATCGTCCCCCCCCCCCCCAGTTTCTCTGCTCTGGCCCGAGTGTGAGCAGACCCCACAGAGGGGCTAGAAGAGTTCTGTGTAGGGTCGTCAGCTTGTCTGCTTCGGGTATCTGGTACCCTGGTGACCTAGCAGAGGATGGCTCCACCGTGCCTTCACTGTGATGGTTGCTTGCCCATGACACGAGCTCACTGCCTGACCACAGTTCCTCCCTTCCTCCCTCATTGCCCTCCAGCAACCAGTGGCTACTTATCAAGGACCACCTGACCAGCCCTTGGCTCTGGGTTTCTAGACAGCAACAGATAGGGCTCCGGGCTGGCAGCCCGCTGCCCCCCGCCCCCACCATGCTCTCCCAGTTCCCCCGCAGCCTCGTGGTGATGAAACACATTTCCTGAAGCTCAGATCACATGTCCATAAACAGAGAAACTTCTTCGCCTACCACTTGAGACCAAAGGCCAGGCTGCTTCTCTTTATTCTCGAGAGCCGGCGCTGGGGAGGGGGCCACCAAGGCAGGGACAGGATGGGCGGCTAAGGGTAGGTAGGACTGTGTCGCACTCTGGGGCCTGCCTGCTCACCACCACTGTCTCCTCTCAGTTCACCAGGGGTGCATCTCTCTCCCGCCCCACAGTTTCGCCAGTTTTAGGGAGCTCTGGGCCCTCCAGGAGAGAGACTGCAGAGCAGCCAGGACACTGTGGAAGCAGCAGCACGGAGGGGCGGTACCTCACTTGAGCTCACCTACAAAGAGCAGGCAGAGATCCAGCAAGAGACACCCTAAAGCAGGAGTAGCCCGGGAGAGCCGTGGGGCCAAGAGCAAGCAGGGCCTGACAAGCTCCCCAGAGCCACGCTGTGGGAGGGGCAGGACCAGGTCACATCACCAGGAAGTAGACAGACTCTCCCGTTCAGATACAACTCTGGAGCAAGGCAGCGGACTGTCTCACCGTCACTCAGGAATGGTGACTCCGGGGTTCCCTACCTAGACTAGGGTCACCTATGTAGACTAGACCACGTGCTAAAAGTATGATGACCGTTAACCTGTCCTGAGAAACTTCCTTTTCGTGCCAGTAAATAGTTTGGGAGGCTCATTTAGCAGTACCAAGTTTTCCGGACGACCTTTGCCACCAACGCCATCCCGACAAAGGAGAACTGGCTGGTGAGGCCTGGCAATCTGTACCTTTGACTTTTAAAACACTGAAGGGCACGGTGTTAACAAGGAACACCCTCCTCGGCCAGGCCTTTAGGGAGGGAGGGTGTTACCGATCATGCTGAAACGGCATGAAATGGTGTTAGTCCTCGAGTTCCCCAGTGCTCTTCCGCAGTGCTCCCCCAGTGTTGTCCCCCTAGTGTGCTGTCCCCCAGTGTCCCCAATTGCTCTTCCACAGTGCTTCCCCCCAGTTTTTCTCCCCCAGAAGCTGTTAGAAAGGCTTCCTGGAAAGACACCCACACACACACAACAGGCTGAGGGTAGTACACACCTTCGTACGCTCGGGGCGGCGGGCAGGGGTGGGGGTGGGGGCAGTCAGGTCATCAGTGTGGACCAGGAGCCACTCACATTGAGCTCTCCATGGTCACAGATCATGAAGAGAGGCTCGGGCAAGCCCTCGTGTGATGAGAGACGGGGCCTTATCCATTGCATGACGACATTTGCTAACAAACCCTTTACCTGATGAAAGTTCGTTAAAGGAAATGAGGTGATGAGGTAGAATGCACAGCAGGGACCCCCCCCCCCCCCCATCCCGGGAGCCCTGAGTGCTGGGATGCGGCTGGCAGCCCTTTGCCCACACAGGAGTGTGACTCCAGGGCACGTGTGTGCATGGGCTGCGTGAATGCCACCGTTGAGCCCGAGCGTCTCTGGCGTCTTGGGACGGTCTGAATGACATCTCGTCACTACTGGGAGCAGTTCTACTCCTTGGGCGTCTCCGGCACACTCCTTCACGGCTGCTCAGGTGGTGGGACTGCAGAGACGTGGAGACGCTCTGTCTCCTCGCCTTCCTCCTCCGACTCCAGCGCCTGCTTGGGGCCCACTGCGTACTGAGCACTGCTGTGCTCGTGGCGGAGGTAGAGCCAGGGCAGGCTGCTCACTGTCTACCAGGGGAGGAGGCGGGAAGCATCGGCACACGGGGTCATGCCCGTCACACAGCGCTGAGGGCAGCTGTGGAGGCAGCCGTGAGGAGCGGGCACGGGAATAGATGGGTTCCGGCTAAGGAGGGAAGGCTACCATGATGCTTTTCCCAGGGGCCGAAGCAGTGGGGTGGTAACTGCTGCTGGCTGGTACCTGCAGAGTACCGGGCTCTGTGCCAGAGGCCCTGCTCCTTGCACGTGTCAGTGAGCGCGAGGGACAAGCTTAGAAATGTAGAGTGAATTACCCAAGGTGCTGAGAGGCAGTGGGGTACCTGGCGAAAAGCTGTGTGAAGAGTGACAGACCAGAGGCCACAGCCGCTGGAGAAAATCCAAACTGTTGGCCCTGGGGCTTGGGTCAAAACATGGTTGCCGGGTCTGGTGTGGGTAGGACAGAGAGGGGCACAGTGTGGGGGATGGACTGCCATTTCCTAAGGGTCCAAGTCAGATGGGCTAGGGGTGTGTGGGTGGTTGGGTAGGTTGAGTCCCAGATGCGGGCCGCACCTAGGAGTGGAGGCAGAGAGAGGTGCTTGCCTAGATTAGGGGCTCTGTCTGCCTTGCACCTTCTACCCCAGAGCCTGCTAGCAGGGAAGGAGACTCTAGATGGGTTATAAAGTACCCGTGGCACAATAGTCAAGCAAAGACAAATCACAGGAAAGAAGGTAAGAGAGGTGTCATGGCAGGGGCCCGCCCTGGGCTCCCAGTCAGAGGCAGAACTGAGCCCCCTGCTGGAGGAGAACTGCCCCAGCCACCCAGCAGGTCACAGAGGTGTCTGTTAGGTGGCCTCCCCCTGGTGGTCAACAGGTGTCACTGGCTCCAGATGTGAGTCCAGCTGTTCCTCATCAGCACCAGGGGCCCAGATGGGATCTCTGAAAGATTCAGCCTGAAGCCACATAGGACTGGAGCAGAGCAGCCAGGCCTGGACTCAGTGACTCCCAGTTTTCTGAGAGTCCCCCCCCCATCCCCTCCTGCTTCCCTAGACAGATTATCACCATATTGCCCTGATTTGCAGGCTTGGCCATGTCCCAAAACCTGTGCCTAGCTATTGCTCACTCCAGACCCTGTGGTACCCCATCTGCTAATTTCCCCTGGAAGGGACTGGGTGGGGAAACGGGGGGGGGGGAAGGGGGCAGAGCTGCATCCTGACACACTATACACACTGTATGCATCTGGTCCTGCAACAGAGATGGCCCTGTGTCCAAAAGGGTAAAAGTTAGGAGACAGCCAGTTTCCCTGGCTTCCTTCAGGCAGGGACACTGCCAGGCCTACCCTGTAAAGCAGTGTGGGCCTGAGCTCCCTCGGTGTCCTGGAGTAGTGGGCACCCACAGAGGGGGGTCATACCGAGGAGCTCCCGTCAGACCCACGGAGGGGACAAGGTCAGCCAGGTCCGCTAGGCAAGAAGGAGCGGCAGAAGTGAACCCAGCACGGGGGCAGCAGGCAAGAGCTTTGTACAGCTCCCTCTGCCCATCCTGCACCTGGCATCAAGCAGATCGGCGGAGTGGAAGGCATTGGCCACGCATGTTTGTTTTGCTGCGGGCTGGGCACTGACCCTGAAGCACTTAAGGGGCCGGGAGTTGACTGGACTGTTCTGCTGTTTGCCGAGGCCCAGGTGGTGGATCCCTCTCCCAGTCCAGCCTGGGGTGGACCCAGGAGGTGGCTCACGCTGTTCTCTTTCTCGATAGGTGAAGGGCCGGATGCGAGGCAGGGAGCCGGAGCACAGCCTGAGGCAGGGGGGCCTCGGGAAGCGCTGGGCCCTCCAGCCGTGCTCAGAAACATCGCCACAGCAACCAGCGGCCAGACAGCAGTAGCCTGGGCAGACACTGCCTAGGCAGACGCAAGAGGACAGCCACGGGGAATGACTACGGCAAATCAGGCCACACCGCTGACAAGGGAGGTGGAGTGTCACTAGAGGGGAGGGTGTGGTCTCTGCCCCACTCTACCGAGCGCCATGCCCACAGGAGAAGAGGTGCTAAGGCAGGGATTGCAGTTTGATGCTGCCGCGGCCTTGCTCCCAAGCCAGTGCTGAGCATTCCCGGGTCATCTGTCTTCTCTTGTCTGCCTCAGCCCGCATCTCAGCGTCCCTCACTGTGACCATCCTGTCTGTTGGCGAAAGGGGGAGAGGCACCCATCCTGTGCTCTGTACCGGGGGGGCCTCCTGCTGCCGGACCATGGGATGTCGGCAAAGCTCAGAGGAGAAAGAGGCGGCACGGCGGTCCCGGAGAATTGACCGCCACCTGCGCTCAGAAAGCCAGCGACAACGCCGTGAGATCAAACTTCTCCTACTGGGCACCAGCAACTCGGGCAAGAGCACCATCGTCAAGCAGATGAAGATTATCCACAGCGGCGGTTTCAACCTGGAGGCCTGCAAGGAGTACAAGCCCCTCATCATCTACAACGCCATCGACTCGCTGACCCGCATCATTCGGGCCCTCGCGGCCCTTAAGATCGATTTCCACAACCCAGACCGGGCCTATGACGCCGTACAGCTCTTTGCACTGACGGGCCCAGCAGAGAGCAAGGGTGAGATTACACCAGAGCTGCTGGGCGTCATGCGGCGGCTGTGGGCCGACCCCGGGGCTCAGGCCTGCTTTGGCCGCTCGAGTGAGTACCACCTGGAGGACAATGCAGCCTACTACCTGAATGACCTGGAGCGCATCGCCGCGCCTGACTACATCCCCACAGTGGAGGACATCCTACGCTCCCGGGACATGACCACGGGCATTGTGGAAAACAAGTTCACCTTCAAGGAGCTTACCTTCAAGATGGTGGACGTGGGCGGGCAGAGGTCGGAGCGCAAAAAATGGATCCACTGCTTTGAAGGCGTCACGGCCATCATCTTCTGTGTGGAGCTCAGTGGCTATGACCTGAAGCTCTATGAGGACAACCAGACGGTGAGTAAAGCCCAGGTTCCTACTGTCTGTTCCGGGGAAGCAGGTGGACTCGTGTGAGCAGAGAGAGGCTTCCGTCAGAACTGCTCCTCAGCCTTGCCCGGCCACATGATGAGCTAGGGCAACCACGCCCCAAGTTCTGTGCCCAGGGGAGTATGCTGTGGAGCATGGTGAGTGTACCGATGCCTTGAGGCCTCAGGGGCTCTTCTGTCAAGTTGTGAACCCCAGTGGGCAGGCTCATGCTGGTGCCCCATAAGACCTCAGCCTCCCATGACTCCTCCAGTCTGAGGGACGTCACTTTGACTTAGATGGCACTTAACAAATAACACCACACCCCTAGGCTCCACGGGGCTCATCAGGCAGGGCCCCCACCTTTATCGGCTCTGACTGCCCTCCCCCAGCTAGGGATGGGACTTTGGAACTTCCCTTGTAGGGCTTGGCTCCGCTGTCCAGGTTTCCAGGTCACCCTAGTCTCGGTTCAGTGAATAGATTGTGCCCATGCCATGCGCTGAGGGCATGGAAGGCAAGGCCTGGACGGGCGTCACTGGTAGCCAGCATGCTCAGATCCAGCTGAGGCAGAAGGTTAGGTGCCCAAGCTACCTAACACTGTCCCCAGGAATAGCAGTAGCGGAAGCCTGCTAGTCAGACGGATGCCAGTGGTCTGCTCTGGGACTGTCTTCCTCGTTAGAGCTAATGTACTAGGCAGGAGCACTAAACAAAGACCCAGGACCTTCCTTTATAGTTCATGCCCCAGGAGCCGGAGAGCAGAAGTTCTCTAAGAATCTGAGCGGGATTGTGGATGCCTGGGTCTATGGTAGATAGGGAAAGATACTGATTCCAGTGAGGACTTTGTGGAAATGTAACATCCACCATGCTATGAGACAAGGGTCCAGCCTCTCCACTTTGGAACACTGGTCTCTAGGGTCTATGAGGAGTACGGGGCTTCTTTCTTCATCTGGTCTTGTTGAGGCAAGCCAATGACTACTCTTTAAGTTCACTCAAGGACTCTGACTTTGGGCCTCTGTCCCCCCAAAGGCATGTGTGGAAGGATGAAGGCTCTGACCACAGCTCTGGATACCTGAGTGATCTGGACATAGAGAGCCTTTAGCCTGATCAACAAGCATGAAGACAGAAGGCAGAGCTCTCTCCACCTCCCCTCCAGCATCCGGGTATCCTGGGATCTATGCCAGATATTGATACTGCTCCCAATGGGTGAAGTGATAAGCTGTGGATGTAGGTGGCCCTGTTACCAACTGTTGTCTACTTGGTGTCCAGGCTGTGTCTGTCTGTGAGTGAGCCATCTTCAGGGTTCTTGCCCATCCAACTTGGTCGGCTGTTCCCACTCTAGCAACATGCGTGGTTCTAACTAGACGTGGCGTCCTATCAGAGAGAGGCATGACCTGAGGCCAAGGTTTGGGATTGACCCAGATGTCACGCAAAGCACAGTGCCTGGGGTTGGTTGTGGGAACAGTAGGTTGGAAGGTTGGCCAGCCATGCCGTAGCTGCCAATCACAGAGGCTCTCTGTAATTCTCTGCACTCCTGTTGGCAGGAAACTGCTCACACAGGCCTTTCGAGCCTGGATCTGATGGCCTCATCTACCATCTCCAGGCTCGAAAGCATGGCAGACTACCCCCCAGGACCAAGCTCCCAGTCTCATTTCTTGCAGGCTGTGCCAAGTGTACCCGGATCCATAGGCAGGATGCTTGGTCCCTGAGTTTCGTGACCACCTCTTCCTTGGAATCTCATCAAAAAGTAGCGCCAAGCTTTCCCGGCTCTGCCTGGCCATTGCCCTCCTCTGTGTTGCCTCTCTTCTCTGCCCGTGCTGTCTGTGGCTTCTTCTGTTGCGGTGCCTCTCCGTCCATCCTAAGTTCACTGCCATCCTGCCCCGTCCCTCTCTCTCCTCTCCCTCTGCACATAGGACTAGAACTCAGAACTTCATTGGATGCCTCCCCTGGCCACAGCCTGGAGCCTGCACGCTCCTCACAGAGTGCTTTGTAACGGCGAGGATCAGTGCTCACGTGAAAAGCAAGGGCCTCCATGGGATAGGCCCTGGGAGGGCTGAGTAGAGCTCTGTGGCCTCGTTCCCTGTGGGGATTTCAGTGAGGCCCCTGCTAGCCTCTTACAGAACCCAGGCTGTCTACCAGGGCATCTCCTAAAGGGAGGAGCTTGCAGCTGAGCCTACACACACATTTAGTCTCATTCATTTTTCTCCCTCTCTCCCTCCCCTCTTCTGCATCCTCCATCTCTCGACCTCTCCCCTTACCTCCCCTGTCCCTCGTGCTCCACCCCTCCTCTCTCTCCCTCTGTCTTCTTCTCTCCCTCCCCTCCCCTTTCTCCCTCTCATCCCCGTGGGCCTGAGGAAGTAGTGTTGTTCACCAGAAAAGGAAATTCTTGATGGCAAACCCTAGCAAAGCTGGAAATTCACTGGATTCCAAATGGTTCTGACCTTTCATGCTCCACCAGTAATATCTGACGATAGAAAACAAACAGGCTGCCGAGGGAAGACAGTCCTGCCGTCCTCTGACTCCTCCCACCCGCTGCCCTGGCGGTGCCCACGGTGGGCACCTCTCACCTCTCCCTCCAGCCAGATGCTGAGGCAGGGCTGCCACCAGCTGCCTCCTCCCGCTCCCGGAATGCCCTGGAAGTCCCAGCCCCAGCAAGGACTCAGCCAAGAGCAGACCACACCACTTTTTGCGAAAGCTCAGTGAAGTTTGGGGCTTTGCGCCAAGACTGTGTACACGGCTCCTCACAGCTCCTTCCCTGCTCAGCTCCCAGGCCCTCTCGCCTTTCCTGTCACAGAGGCTGGTGGTACCCCTCCCATCCCCTCGCCTGGAGAAGGAGCCATTGCCCCACCCCCACCCCCACCCCAGTCCGCCCGCTGGGTTTCTGCGTCAGCGTGTTGCCAAGGAGAGCTTAGGCATCTCCAGGCTTCTGGGCGCGAGGGCTGTGGCGGTGAGCACAGGCCAGCAGCAGCAGTGCCTTGGAGGTGCTGGTTGCCAGGACATCCGTGGAGTGTGGCAGGAGACACATATGAGGAGCCATGCCATGTGTGTTCATGATTCATACACTCGTCTCCAGGATTTGACAGGTCTTCAGACTGTCTGAGTCTCCAGCCTCCTGGCAGCCTCGACAGGCAACTGTAGACTCCGAACCTCGGTGGGCTTCCGGTGCTGTTTGGTATGCTCCCGGATGCCACCAGAGGCGGAACACATCCCAGGGACATACGGGGATTTCTCTTGTGTACCCCCACCCCCACCCCCGACTGATGTGGGGAACCAGCAGCCTTTGGCTACCCACCCCCTTCACACCCTCCCATCTGAGGATTTGTTTTTCTTCACTGAGCCAGTTCCAGGGCTCAGGCAGACACAGGGTAGAGGCTGTGTCCTCAGATAACAGATGCAGGTCAGTCGGTGACCACAGGAAGATGTGAGCCAGGAATATAACAGACCCAGCAGCCCATGTGGAACCATGACCGTGGCTACGACCTGGAGGAGCCCTCAGGACCCCAGGTCTGTGGAAGTGGAAGGCAGCAGACAGCTGCCATCCAGACTCTCTCTCCCTTTGCGGATCAGCTAATGGACACTGGAAGGCACTTAATGGTAGAGGGACACTTTAGAAGAGACAGATTAAAAGACGTAGCAGTAAAGTGCCAAATGTTCTCGTATGGAAACCCACAGAGAGCTCACTACCCTGAGTCCCACAGTGGCCTGCTGTGTGCCTGCTGGGCTGAGCCAGGGCCTGATTGGGGTAGGGAGACTAGTAACTACAAGTGAACGTGCGCCAGTTTCTGATAGCGCAGTTTTGATCGGCACATGGGGGGACAGTCTTACACAGCAGCCACATAATTCTCACACGGCCTTATGCTACCAAGGATACCTGCCCCTCTTCCAGAGCTAACGGGCATAGTCGCCAGGACCGTTCCCCCATTTGCTTTCATGTGGGATCCGCGGTGGCCACTTTGAGCCCCACAAGTTCCACTGAGCTTTAGCAAGGCTCACCACAGGGAGACCTCATGCTCAGCTGGTGGATAGCTGGTCAGCAGAATCAAGGAGACCAGCAGATGCAGACTATTACTTTGGGCTGAGGCTCAGAGTCTGCAGGTAGGGAACCTACAGCAGCTACAGTCCGAACAGTCCCGCCACCTCCTAAAACAGCACCGCCTGATAAAATAGTGGTAGCTTCAGATCAGCCAGGTGTCAGTAATTCCACCACAGAAATTGGCCAGCAGTCCCATTTCCCATCCCCACCCAGCCCACTGGTATTTACCAACAGTCTGCAGACAGGACAGCCTAGTGGGTAGATCCTGCCGAGGGCCCAGACTCAGCAGATGATAATAAGAGGAGCTCACTTGCAGGTTTTTGGAGAGCAGAGCAGCGTGCCTATCCACACCTCGCTCCGTGGTTCCTTGGCGATTTCCCCCGACCCGCTGACCGTATACCATTTCTGTTGACATTATCCTGTCCCTTGCTTGGCCCTCACTGCTGCTCTCTTTTCACAGACATAAGAGACCTCTGCTGCATGGAGAACAGCTCTAGAACTGAGCATTGCTTTCTCTGTGTAAGCTAGCCGGAGACCCACCCATCATGTGTCCTTCTCCATCCGAGAGAGAGTCAAGTCCAGAGGCATCATTCAGAAAAGTAGTCACCTAGAATGTGCAGGCCCCCAGCCCAGTGAGCTCACCACGTAGACTAGGGACGTGGCAGCCATCATGTCCTCCCTCTCCTGAGTGATGAGAAGATGGCATCAAAGAGTCGCTGAGAGGGTCAGGAAAGTCAGGAGGGGCCCTTCTGCCTTTGGAAACAGCTTGCAGGAGAGTGTAGGGGGGCAGACATCAGCAACAGAGCCTGAACAGACTGGGACAAAGGTCAAATGGCAGTCTGGAGAATCCAGTCCAAGAGCTGTGTGGTAGCGTTGGGGAAGCCAGCAAAGGCAGAAGCCGAGAGGCTGTTTGGGACTGTGGACAGCACAGTTCTGTGGCTGGCACCCTGGGCTGAGGTCAAGGAATGGAAAAGTGACACAGAGTCCCAAGCATTGCATCTAGTCCCAGCCCTGGCAGGGGCAAGAGGTGTAGTCCAAATGTGCTGTGACGCAGAGCCAGGGATGGTGTCAGAGCCAGGGGTGGTGTCAGAGCCAGGGGTGGTGCGGCTCCAACCCCCCAGGCTGTGTGCTCTCTCCGCCTGGGTGATCACGCTGTGTACTCACAAAGATGCCCTGCTCTGAGCTGTTCACAGAGACTCAAGGCGAAGCAGCTTCTGCCTCCTGTCCACCCGCTGCCCTGGCCAGTGGGTAATTAATTTCCTGAGTGCATTAGTCCTGCTCATTAGGCACACATCAGAACAGCTCTGGGGTTTAAGACACAGATTATTATTGTTTTAAGGGATTTGTATAATCCAAGAACTGAAAAAAACAGTTTTCCCACTTAACAAGAACAGACTCCATGATGGTGAATGAAAGCGTTGGGGGGGGGTCTCCCTGTCTTGGGGCAGGGGGCTCCTGATGATCAGAGTAGGCATTCGGTCTGCCATACCCAAGAGAGTTCCTTGACTGGCCTCGAATAACAGAAGAGTGGGTGACGAATGGTCAGGATACTTAGGTCCATCCTACTGGGCAGAAAGGCTTCTGTACTGACAGAGGACAGTCCCTTCTTTGCCCCTCTGTGGGGCTCCCTGGATTTCTAAAGGAGACACCCATTGTTGGTGAGGACATAGTGATAGGCACTCCTTCTCCCTGGGCATGCTCCGGATTGGCCAGAGAACAAATTCAGGCTAGCCAAGAGCTTTGCCTTATCACATCTTTGCTCCCCATAGCCAGTATCTCTTCAGCTCTTGTACCATATCTAGTTTTATTAATAATAAAACTGTTATGTGCCCAGGTCCCTGGGCCTCGTATCCTGAGGTTCTCCGACCTAGGGCCATAGCCCTGCACAACTTTTCCTGGCCACTTGTGCCCCTGGGGAAAATCTGCCCTGCCCTACAGGATGGGCTCAATGTCCTGACCCAGAATTCTAAAACAGGACATGCAAATCCTCCAGGGCAGTTTGGACTAGACAGAGCATGACCATGGGTAGGTCCCCTCCCCACAGGACATCAGCCTCCCTTAAGTAGTGGCAGAAAGAACTGAGTAAGTGTGGTCTTCTGCTTGGTTGTCCTCAAAAACTACAAGGTCTGAACTCTGCGTGCGTGCGTGCGTGCGTGCGTGTGTCCATCCTGCCTGGAAGAACCCTTGGCCTTCATGTTGCATAAGTCGAAACATGGTTCCATCTCAGCAACTAAAAATCCTCATCCGCCTCTGCTCCTGTCCTCACCTGGATTGCCCTATGGTTGGTGACCCTGTCCTCTGAGAGCAAGCAGTGGTGAGATAATGAGTGGAATGTCAGGGTACCACTCGAGCTAGGTCACAGTCCAGGCAGAAGTAGCGTCCTGGAAATGATGTAGAGGCAAGCCATGGTTCTGATGTGGCTTCCCACCCGCAAACTAAAGAGAAATGGTCACAGCTGACAGGCTCCAGGCAGAACTCCCGCCTCTTTGACCCTCACCTACCCAAAGACAGGAGGCAGGAGCATGGCGGCGGAGCGGATACTGCCCCTGGCTCCAGGGCAGCCCTAGTGCAGACAAGCTTAACCTGCCTTTGCGACCGAAAGTGAGAAAGGCGCTTGGAGAAGATGTGGACAGAAAGCCTGTAATGTAGCGCTTTGCTGTGACATGGCCGTCATTTGAAGTCTCAGCACAGAAAGTCATGGTCATTGCCTGCTATATAACTCATGCCTATAGCATAGCAGGAGTCTCTAAGTAACCCAGCCTGGACTTGACACATCCTGATGAGCAGCCTGGACAATGGACCTGTCCTTGCCATGTGTGGTGGCTGCTCTGCCCTGGGCCCTGTTACCAGGGCATCCATGCTGTCTTCCTTCCACAGTTTAGAGGGTCATCAGTGGCCTCTCCTGCCCTGGCCCCATTGGAGCTCCTTCCCTGGCCCACTTTTGTCCAGGCCATCCCAGAATACTCTTTTGAGTGTCAGCCTTGCCATCGGATCATGGTGATTCCTTTGCCTAGACTGCCCCAGCCTGAGTGGTACTCTGGGATTTCTCTTGCTTTCCAAAATACTGCCTGCTCCAGAAGGATTGGGTCACACAGTGGTTAAACTCAGGGTGGGCAGGATTAGATGTGGGTTAGGTATTTGGGTACCACCTAGGATGAAGTGCTTCCTGACACAAACAACTTGAAGGCGGAGAGTCCCTCCAGGTAGAGTGTGTGAGCTCAGGGCCTTGCCAAACACCAGGATGAGTATGGCATTCAGTGACTAGGCCAAGATGGCTCAGAAGACACTGAGTTGGGTGAGTACTGTCACATGCGAAGAAACTGAAGCACATCCATGACGGCAACCACATATATGAAGGGAGCTTTCTCTCATCACCTGTCTTTTTGTATTTGTTTTGTTTTTTTCATTGTTACTCATGGCCTAATGACCTACTCTGCGATTCTTAAAACATTCCAGAAGGTGGCAGCCTGCAATATAACCATGACATCCTAAGGCCTAGCCTTAAGTCCAAGCCTTGATCACTGTCCAGAAGGCAAAGAGTCTCTAGCATTGGCCCAGGTACCTTTCCTAACCACTGAGGCCCAGAGAGAAAACAAAACAGATAGTCCAGGAGCCCTTGGTCTGTGGCCACTGTAAGTATGACGGTCCCTGCCGCTGTACATGCTGGGGGGTGGCCCTACCATGCATCAGAATTCCTGCACTACCTGGTGACTCTGCCTATGTGTGGACTAAATCATTGGCCCAGAATGTGGAAGTTGTTCCCTCTCATAGCGCAAGTAACAGAGAAGGCAGGAAGCCTTGTCCTTGGTGCTTCCACCCTGCTGTGTGCTCTGGCAGTTCCTCCAAAGAGAAGGTTTTAAAGTTAAGGTCTCTTAAAAGAGTGTAGGAGTCAGACGGGTCAAGGACACCACAGAAGGGTTCATACAGTAACCAATCTGGACTCATAGGGGCTCACAGAGACTGAACCAACAGCCAGGGAGTCTGCATGGGACTGAGCTAGGAACTCTGCATATGTGTGACAGTTGTGTAGCTTGGTCCTCTTATGGGGCCCCTAACAGTGGGAACAGGGCCTGTCTCTGACTCTTTTGCTGACTTTTGGGACCCCACTCCTCATATTGTTGTGCCTTACCCAGCCTTAATACATGGGGAGGTGCTTAGTCTTACTGCAACTTGATATGCTGTGTTTTGTTGACACTCATGGGAGACCTGCCCTTTTCTGGATGGAGATGGAAGAGGAGGGGATTGAGGAGAAGAGGGTTGCAGGAATGGGGGAGAGGGACTTGGAGGGAAGGGTGGGGGAGGGGCTGTGACCGGGATATAAAATGAATAGATGAAGTAAGAAAAATAAGTTGAGGACTCCTACCAACTCCCTGTCCCTAAAGCTGTCCATTCAGGGTAGGATACAGCCTTTTCCTCAGCACATGCAGTAATGGATGCTGGAGTCAGGAGCAAAACGTCCCAGGCTCCAGGCCCCTGCTCTGGTATTACCGGAGACCCAGAGAGTAAGTTACATCTGGCTTCTGTGACTGCTGTATATATTCTTCTCCAAGAAGCTGCTACTTTAACTCGAGTTGAGACAGAGCCGAACTTGCTGCAGCATCCCCCTGCCCCAGTATCCTGCAGGTGACATCGGGTGACCTAAAGTACTTGCACTTTCTTCTTATAAAGGATGAGCATGGCTGAAATCCATCCTATAGGCTATAAGCAGACGTTTCCCACTGGGATCTCTCTTTGTCCCCAGTTTCCCTTGTTCCTCAAAGGAATGGCCCAGTCCTACTTGTGAAGGATTTCACAAGCTTTGGTGCCCACTGGGGTGGTGAGGGCTGACTCTGCTGCTGTGTGTATTTACTGAACGGTCCAGGTGATGTGTTGAACTGTAAGTCCAAGGTATCCCCTGGAGAACAAACAGGAGGGGCTTTGTGCACGAGTTTGCTTCACAGGTCTGCATCTGTGTTGACAATCCCCAGTCTATAAGATGCTTGCTTCCTGGTATCCATTAATTTCCTGTTAGTGATGGACGGCAGGGCGATGGGTGCAGGGAGGGTGACTTAGACAGCAAGATGTAACACAGAAGCAAAGAGGAGATTGGTTCTTAACTCAGTAGAAGCAAAGGCAGACTAGGACTGTGGAAGGGATGGTGCCCCCTGCCAGGTAGGAGGACCTGTAAGCTGGGCCAGGATCCACAGCCAGGGGTCCATGCCCACCTCCACCCCCAGTGCTTCTGGCCTGCTGGGCATGAACAGTGGAACAGGACTTGGTGCTCCAACTCCTCCCAGAGTCAATGTGCCTAGCATCTTGTGGGACTTCTCTGTTACAGAGCTAGGACTCTTTGAACATTCCTAAGTCACAACATCTGGGTATATGATGTCCATGGCCTGTGTCGTAGTGTGGGGTTCTTCCTCCCCTGGGATGTGAACACCTGCCAAGACAGAAAGAGTCACTAGGCCCTGAGAACTTATCTGTCGTTGGTTCTGAGATCCATTCAAAGCAAAAGGCAGAGTAGGGTGACTTTACAGGTACTGCTGAGAGGCCACTGACTAATGACGGGTATTCTCATACCCCTAGACAGCTCCACTGGGTAAGTTAAATACAGACAAACAACAGGTACCGTAGGCACCTCTCTGTAGCTAACACTGGGGCCTGCGGGTTGATAGGGCTGTAGCCTGGCAGTCATCCTAGTGTGTCATATGGCCACCTGTGTCCACCCAGACTCACCCAACAGTACAACTCTGATCTCCTAAGCACCTCTTCTGACTCCTGGGGATCTAGGACAAGTCACACGGTACATCATGGACTCCGAGCTCTCCATGCAGAAGGATATAGAGAGCCATCTGTGGGGTTTTACTGGGGACAAAATAAACAAACAGAAGTGCAGTAGCCGTGATGGCACAGAACCTGTCCTAGGTCATATACCAGAGTGCAGCTCATGTAGCCTGTGAGCCCCTAGCCTAGCAAGGGTCAGCCCCTGCCACACAAATGTAACTAGGGTTCCAAGCACAGATATTTCCCTGGTTGCAAAGTCAGGGGCCTCTGAATCTATAGATCCCAATGAGGACCTCCGCTGTCCACTACCCAGGGACTGTGCAGGATGGGGTGGTGGCTTATATTGTTACCATTTAGGGTCACCCCAGCCCCCTCCACATTATACGAGTAAAGAGGAGGTAGCCAGAGGCTCACCTGCTACCTGAGGCAGGAAGTAGTCGTCCCTGCTGTTCCTGGCAGGTTCAGGATGAGAGCGTCCTATGTTATTAGAGCTGGGGATATAGCCTTACCCACAGCCTCTTATCTTGTTTGAACAGTCTTCAATGTTTGAAGTGGCAGGCCTGGCGTGTACTGTTTCTGTGAACATTGCACTTGTCGCTGGGCACTGGGAGGGACGTGGGTAAGCAAAGCTTGACTTCTGGACTTGCTTGGATTATACCCGTGCCCCAACCTCCAACCCAGAAAACTCATGTTTGCTGACCAGCAAAGAGCTTCAGCCAGAGTGCTCTGTAAAGTAGGTTGGTCGCCCCTAGTTCACCTAGGTGACAGCCAACCAGCCCTCTGTGGAGACAGGTGGCAGCTGGGAGAAGAGACGGTGACAGTATAAGGGACTGGACGAGAGTGTACCTGAGGAAAGGGAGGCCGGTGAACGCTAGACATCCGGAATGTCTGACTTTACAAGTTGGAGCCACCCTCATGGCTAACCCTCCCGTGTCACTGGCTCAGAGTGGCTTCTGTGGGTTCAGGGCTATCGGCCTGCAGGTGGAGGCTGCACCTGGTCCGTGCAGGTTTCCAAGGAGGATGCACAGGACACACAGCAAGAGGAGCACAGACACAGAGAGGGGTCTGGAGCATCTGCTCACAGAGCCCAGGAGACCGACCAGAGTGTGTTAATTCACAAACACAAGACACAGGACTTCACTCACCAAGATCAGATGGTTCCCAGTCCTTTAAGGCTGAGTGCCTTACCCAGTCTCCTACTGACCCACCTTCTGAGCATCAGAGCTGTAATGACAGAAAGTACAGGCTACCTGTCACTGGGAAGCTAGGCTGCTACAGACCGGAAGTCCTGGCCCCACTCTTCTCAAAGCCTATTTGGGTACCTGTCACTTCCCCCAAAAAAACCTAGATATCCTCACAGAAATTTGGGGGCTCCTCCCACTACCACCCTGGTCATTTGTACCCCATACCCAAGAGTAGGGGCACAGAGTGGACATCCAAGCACCCAAGCTTCCTTTCATCCTAGCCTACCCTCACCCCCGCCTGCAACACAGCCACTACTCCAAATGCTATCTGACCTTGTCTGAAGATTGCCCTGAGTTAAGGAGAGCAGGTCCCAAGACAGTCAGTCATAAACGTGGGCAAATGAGGAACCCCGCCAAGAACCTGCGCCCTAGTGCTAAGAGGTGGAGGCTAGGCTCTGTAGAGACTTGAGAGGTGGGATTCAGTAAACCAGCCAGCTGTAGGCACCCAGAGAAGAGCAGTGCCCGCGGAAACACTTTCTGGCAAAGGCCACTCTGGGTGAATGGGCACATGCATGAGGCAGGAAATGTGTTGGCCAGAGATGGAAGCCTCTGGAGAATGCTCACAAGGCACACACAGGGAGGTGGGTCCCCACCAGAGTCTGTCTTGATAACGCAGACTCCCAAGGGGGTCATGTTCACACTGCTGCCCCGGCCCAGATGTGGTCCTCAGCGCTAGCCACGTCTCGCCGGTGTGCTGCTGCCTAGCTAGCCACACTCGGCGTTTGTTTCCTGTTTCTGGAGAGCTGGTAGTGTATGTGCTCATCCTGTGAGGGTCTCAAGTCTCTGAAGTTGATTTTGCTTATTGCTCCTGCCTGTCCCTCAAGCGGGGACTAGCCCCCAGTCTTCCAGGCTCCTCTAACCCCAAGAGTGGAAGAGGTCTCCTAAGAGGGATATTGGACTGAATGGAAGAGACCTGTAGTTTAAGTGTAGGCAGGGTCTCTACTTGGGAAAGCTGTGACAGATCCCAAAGACAAAAATAAGGTAGCGTGCGGAGCCAGGCAAGTGGTGGGCAGGCAAAATGGGAAATAGGGGCTGGGAGCCAGGCCCTTAGGAGCCAAAACAGTAGGCTAGGCCATCTGCTCCAGTACCCTGAGCCCCGGCAGAGCTGCAAAGCCCAGGTTTGGTGAGTAGGTGAGGCGTGGGAACGGTGGTGTGGAAGTGGCCACCCTGAGGGAGAGGGCTCCAAGCACAAGTGGGACCCGGCATGTAGACGGGCAGCGCCCCCCCCCCCCCCCCCAGCCCCGGCCCACCCCTTGCTCCTACCCGGCGCTGACCGGTTCTGGGCAGTCCCTACAGACAGGCTCCAGGGCAATAGGGCTCACTGAATCATTAGCCTCCCTAATCCAATTCTCCAGGTTGTCGAAGCAGCGAAGCAGCGCTTAAGTTTGCAGGAAGAAGAAAAGAGTGCTAACCAGATTGGACTGGAAATAAGTCCCCCAGGCATCTTCTCTGTCTCCAGACACATCCCAGTTCCCCCAAGGCCAATAACCGTGAACCAATCCTTATGGGACTCTCCTTGGTGCGGGGGCGGGGTGGGCCGAGCGGAGGTGGAGGTTTGTTGTGTCTAGAAAGTAGGAATGCTTCAGGGTCCCCATCGTGACTTCTCTCCCTGTGTCACTTTTCTGATGTGAATGGAGGGCAAGCCTCCTCCTCAGGAGGCCCCCCCGCCCATGGTACTCCCATTAGAAGCATATCACTAGAGGAACCTTCCATCTTAACAGCCTTCTGGCCTGTTTCTCAGGCCACATTGAGCCAAGAGAGCTCCCTCAAAGGGATCACAGGAGAAGCAGGTCCCCCCAGTTCCCAGAGGCCCCTCCTTCTACTACCCCCAAGTGGGTATATTGGGCTAAGATGCGCAGCCTCCTCCCGTCTTTGGTCTTTATTGCTGTGTGAGACGGAGGGTGGAGGCGTCCTCTCCAGTTGTCATGGAAACAGCAATCCATCTACCGAGAGTCTGGGTGCTAAGCTGAACAGAGGGAGGGGCATCTGGCCCTGCATGACCCTCCAGCAGTGAAGTGCTATGAAAAACCCAAGGGGCTACCACACCCTGAAATGTGGCTGGCGTGTCCAGTTTGCCCGGGAGCCTCCCTGTGAGCAGCAGGGCCAGGGCCGCAGCTGCCGTGTCCCTGTCGGGGTTGGCTGGCATTCCATCCAGGCACTGGGGTAAACGTATGGGCTCTGCCCGCTGGGAGCCACTTCACTGAGAAGACGGGGTGGAATGGAGAAGCTAGCAGCCAGCAGCTGCCACTGTCTGGGGAGAACCAAGCATCTGGCCCCTAGGCAGATGACTGATGCCTCCCCAACGGCATCTTATTGCCAAAGGGGCAGCGCCGTGGTGCCTGCTGAGGGTTCCACTGGCTTGCCCTCAGTGTCTCTCCACCCATCCCTCCCGTATTCTAAGCTCCTTGAGGTCACCAGAGCGTGGATAGTAGCCTCTCCTGAGGCTCTAAGGCAGGAGATCGTGGCAGAGCCATCCAGCTACCAGATAGGAAATGCAGGCCAGGAAGTGAGCAAATGCACTGGGCTTAGGCTAGCCTATTGTGAAAGGAGACCCTGGCACCTTAAAAAGCCTCAGGGCCTGGGGCAGGACCCGCCTGACAAGCCTGCATCTAAGGGGTGGGGGAGGGGTGTCATGGGTCCTGGAGATGGGTCTCAGAAGAGGTGATGGGTTTAGTGACCAGTCCAGCACCATCTTCTCAGGAGCACAATCCAATCCAGGTCAGTTGAGGGTCCGAGATGAGCACTCTGTTTCACTGAGGCAAGAACTGTGATCTGGGACAAACACGGGGTCTCGGTGCGCTCTGGTGGAGAACGAAACGCCCCTCAGAGCACTCGCTGGCATGTACAGGCCCTCTCTGCCATGAAGCCAGCAGAACCATGCCTAACAGAAACTGCTCAGCAACCGGTCTTAGTGACAGCCCCGCTGAACCAGCTCAGAGCCCAAAGGGAAATTGAAGTCAGGAATTCCTGACAAGGATTGTCCAGGGCAACATGAACTAAACTCCCTAGCTCCCTGCATTATCGGCTAGACTGGCCTCTTTGCCATAAAGTTCAGGGGCGAGGGACATTGCCCTGTCTTCCTTGAAGCCTGTTAGTGAGTTCCCCGGCTACACCACACTTCCATTCTTCTTTGCTTGGAGAAGACCTAGACATCTTTCTCTCGCCTGGAAGACCTGCCCTTCTCTTTAGAGACAGTGTTTTCACGGGCTACTCCACTCTGTGAACCTCCTGAGACCTGAAGGTGAGGTTCACCCAAGAAAAGTTCTCTCCGTAGAGCTCAGGACAGTTCAGCGAATTTCCCCCAAATGCAGAGCTCTGGCCCTTCTCTGCTTCTCTAGGCAGTATAAAGGAATCAGTTCTATCCCAAGACTGCTGGCCAGGATGGGACATGGTCCCGGTGTGTGCCAGCGGCTCCCATGGCCCATGTAGTCGACAGCCCCTCACATTGGCCCTCCCAAGCCTTTCCCTGTAGTGGAAGGTCCTGGAAGCTTAGCTGTCACTCTGTGAAGAGCACCAGTGTGAATCCAGTGAAGCCCCTCCCATCTGGGCACTTCCCCCAAGACTGGCAGTCTGTCGCTCTGACTGGGTCAGGCCTGCTAACTCATCCACAGGATTGACAGTCTGGTGAGTGGAACCCATTCATGAACCAGACCAGCCCCAGTTGTAGGGTAAAAAGCTGAATTCATTATCCCATGAAAAAATACCCTGGGCTTTTTCTACCACAGGCTGACTGACTTGACCTTCCCATGCTGTACCAGAGCTGATTTGACCTCCAGGTGAGGAAAGCTGCAGCCAGGGCAGGATGGTCTCTGTCTCCCCACACAGCTGGTCCTGACACCACATCCCTGGCCACATGCCCTCGCAGTGCACTAACAGGCCCTCAGCCACAAAGCCCAGCTGAAATGCCCCTGTGTCACTTACTTACCCTCACTGTTGGCAGAAATGCCAGCCCAGCAGTTACCTGAGCCTGGGCACAGGGACCGAGCTGTCTGTCTGTCCTACTCCAGCCCTGAGCCACTCTGGTTTGGAGGTACAGTTACATGCGCTGTCTTAGAAGTGGGCAAACACTCCTGATGATTGGCAGGAGAGGGATTTTCGCCCCTTCTCATTATTTCATTCTGCCCAACCACCCCATCACCTAGAAGGTACCTACTCAGAGAGGGCTGTGTGTGTTTGGGGGCGTGGGGGTCCGTGGAGAGGAACTTATGCTACCACAGCTAGGGGTTCCGGATCACTCATGCCCAGGGTTCATATTGGTACCAGAAAGAACTAAAACCTTACCTTGCCTACATTTGATGTGAGGTCCAAGGCTTGAGGCACCTAGTTGGGCAAGATGTTAATTAAGCAAGCCTCACCCTGGGCCTTGTGGGTGGAGCAAGGGAACCAGATGGGTCCATGTATAATATTCCCTAGCTCCCTTACTCACCCCGTAGCTAGCAGCAGTAAATTCCACAGCACAGAAGGGGGACATGGCACAGAATGTGGTGAAATTCCTATTTAATAATAATAATAACACATGTTCAGCATGAGTAGATATCTATACATGGCTTCCCCAAACTAGTATGACCATGCACTACATAACTAGAAATATCTGCTACAGGAGTGTTTACAAGAATGGGAGCATGGGTTAGGAAAGAATTAGACTGGACCAGTATCTGAAAGACTACTGTCCACATGCAGATGGGAGCCATAGGAAGCTGGGATATGCTGGGTCCCCGACAAGGGTCGTTGGGAATCCCGGCAGGGAGAGCATCCCCGTGAAGAAAAGGCCTATGCTACCACCACTCTCAGGGTAGGGAGTGATTGATTGGCGGCTTCCAAGGCAGAGATTCACCAGTTGGGGCGGGCCCTGGAAGAGTAACCACGGGGCATCCCGGGACATCAAGCACCAGCTAACTCCTTCCTTAGTTCACTCATAGGACCTGCACAAGAGGAGCTATTCCTTAGGTCGGGGGTGAGAACAGCTGTGCTGCTCTTTCCACTGACGCCTTTTTCAGTGGATGATTTTGGGGCTTGAAGCCTTGTATTTTTCTTTAGACAAGAGTCTTGCTATGTAGCCCAGGCTGACCTCAAACTGGCAGTCCTGCCGCCCAAGGATCAGGGCATCTTTTCAGTTCTAAGAGGAAACCAAAGCCCAGTTACTTGACATAAAACATGATGGTTCATCTTGACAACTGCCTTTGCTAGGGTTTCTATTTCTTCGACAGAACACCACGACCAAAAAGCAAGTTGGGGAGGGGAAGGGTTTATTTGGCTTACACTTCCAGATCATAGTCCTTCATTAGAATAAGTCAGGGCGGGAACTCAGGCAGGCCTGGAACCTGGAGGCAGGGGCTGAAGGAGAGGTTGAAGAGGGGTGCTGCTTACCTGCTTATCCCCTGGCTTGCTCAGTCTGCTTTCTTTTTTTTTGTTTGTTTCTGTTTTTCAAGACAGGGTTTCTCTGTGGCTTTGGAGGCTGTCCTGGAACTAGCTCTTGTAGACCAGGCTGGTCTCGAACTCACAGAGATCCGACTGCCTCTACCTCCTAAGTGCTGGGATTAAAGGCGTGTGCCACCAACACCCGGCTCAGCCTGCTTTCTTATAGAACCCAGGACCACCAGCCCAGGGATGGCACCACCCACCACAGGCTCAGCCCTCCCCCATTGACCACTAATTGAGAAAATACCTTACAGCTGGATCTCATGGAGCCATGTTCTCGACTGAGGCTCCTTCCTCTCTGATGACTCTAGGTTGTGTCAAGACTCTAGCTTGTACAAGAACTTTATGGCTTTGGCAGCAAAGCTGTTTATTTTTTCGTGTGGAAGGAAGGCAGTGGTCATCGCAAGCCCAACACTGGGGCCTGTGTGGTGAGGTATTTGGCCAGGCATGTCTGGACATGTGCCAAGTGGAAAACCAAGGTCTCTGACATAGGTGAAGGACTTAGGTCCCTCATGAACTCCAGGCTGTGTATACACGTGTTTGATTGGTTTAAAATGAAATCTCGTCTTTGGGAGCTGCTGACCCCAACCTCTCATCACAGGTGAAGGGTGTGAGACTCTTACAAGGGACAGAGTGGTGTTGAGTGGTAGGGCTGGCCCATGTGGGACAGCAGGTTCCAAGTGAGCATTTTAACTCAGAGGTAGGAACAGAGTGGGAGAATGCCCGTCACGAAGATCCAGATTCTCCTTAGAAGTTCAGTCAGGATACAGCGGCTACAGGAGGGTGGTGTTAAAAATGAGTCCCAGACCTTGTATACATAACCAGGGACATCTGCCACTGTGTGTCACCTGGTGTACAGAAAAGGAACCAAATGGCTAACCTGACACACACTCACCCTGACCGATTGTGTTCCTAATAATCAGTCATCTAGGAGCCAGTCCTGGTTGGCCTACCACAGGTGCTGGCCCCTGGAGGCGGTACTGGGAAAGGAGACCCCTGGATTCTCAGGCCAACATGCTCGAAGGTCCTTAGGGATGTGCTGTAACTCCCCTCCACCCCATCGTAAGAAATCCAAGTGCAGGCAAGCACCACCCTGGAGGGAAAGAGGTTATGTGGCATTGAGTACAGTTAGAACCATCTAAGCATGTTACAAATGTCCAAGATACAGCCGCAGCAAGCCACCCTAGGGATGGCTACCTAGCCTCGATGTAGCTGAAGTGGCTTGTTACAGATCACTGGTTCCTACCACCAAGCAGCAAGATTCCCACATTCCCACACTGCACAGCCTTCTGTCAGAGTCATATGCTTGATGTTATTTATATAAACCAATGTTCAGATGAACCCCAACCTCCTAGAAATGTCAATTCCCGTAGAGAAAGAGCCCTTCAGAGAGCTGAGCGGTGGAGCTTGCTGGCCTCATAGCTGACCACAGCACGTGCACCGTCGCCGCACCATTTGGTGGCTGGAGAGGTAAAGGATGTCATGCCAGAAGAGAATATTATGGCTGTTTACCAAGCTCTGGCAAGTCAATACCACCCTAGGGCTCGGTCCCAGTTTGAAAGGAGAAAGCCTCCCCACTCCCATTCCACCCCAGCAAGTGGGCTGGTGGCTTGCTTGCAGCTCCTCGATTCCAGGATCAAAAGAAAACATGTTGTGGTGGGCTAGTGGAGTTGTTGCTACCAGACTAGGGGTGCAGTGAAAGTCTCCACCTCGCCACCTCTAGAAGCAGCTATGAGCCCATGAAGCCAAGCAGATATGAATGGAGAACCGATGGGGGGGGGATACCCCACAGACTGACTAGGACACAGCCAGGTGTGGTTTAGGGAGGTAGGCAGCAGCCTCCCAGAAGAAGGGGCCTGAGGTGGTGCCCCACAAGAAAAGCAGAATATGAACGGATGAGGGGTGCTGTGGTGACAAAGCCCAGAGGTCAGGCAAAGGCCAACTTCAGCCCTCCCACTCACACCCTGGCACTGCATGGCTTCCAGAGTTACGGCCTGGGATAGCATAGCTCCTCCAATGATGGCCTGAGGTAGCAGGGTGCCGCAGTGCATCTCCAAGGGTGTGGCTTCCACTGTGAAACTGGATCTAAGGGCTTGGACGCATCGGTGGGCGACAAGCCAGAGCTCCCACTGTCACCTCTGCGGTTGCTCTTTGGGAGCCAAGTGCAAGTCCCCTCCCTGGCCACCAGATCCTCTGGCCATCTTCAGGTGGGCAGGGTCTTGATTGTGATCTTTGTCCTACCTTTGCCACAGGGCCACGGGCAGTCACAGAGCCTCTTGTCTACGGGCAGATTGAGGAACTCTGTTAGAGACCTTTAGGGGTAGCAGTAGGTAGGGCCCAAAGACCATCCCCAAGACTGCCTGGCTTCTCTTCCCATGGTCTGTGTGCACCGCGGACTCCTTTCCACCCCAGCTGTCTGAACCGCTTCCCTGCTGGTGCATCTCACAGACTCTGGGGACCCTGCATGACTAAGCCTTGCACCTGTGACTCAAGACATCCTGGAACCCAGGCACCTAGCTCACACAGTAGGGGGTAGGACTAGGCGTCTAGGAAACTTAGGCCCCCCCTTCTCCTCCTCACATCCAGGCTCCTCTTGCTTTGCTGTAGTTTCAAGCTCAGGCTTCTTGGTGACCCCTCTATTTTTTGAGGACCGCCGAACCACACTGGCCATCATCTAGCAGTCTCTTGGGAGATGATGTGCCACAAATCACATTTGTCCCCATGGTCCCACCTCCTGGGACCTGCCCAGTAGGGACTCAGAAAAGCCTGTAGGGGGTACTGGCTGTGCGTCTAGTCTGAAAGCTCACAGAGACACGGGGTTTCAGAGTGACTGCAGTCCCCGAGCTAGCACAGGGTTTCCCCGTGCTAGGCACTTCCTTCTGTCCTCCAGAGACCCCCGATGCTGGGTGCGTCATCAGTATGTGAGCACAGAAGCTCTGAACAGTGGATAAGCATAACTGCCCTGGGAGTCAATCAGGATGGTTAGAAGGCACGGCATGGTCAGAGTAGCTCCAGCAGATGACCTCTCTCAATGTGAGGGCCCAGCAAATGAGCCACCATCCCCCCTACTGTGTGCTTCCCGTCCCCCTCTCAGCCCAGGAGAAGCCCCCGAGTCCACCCATGGATGGTTTCCAGTATCCCTGTCAAGGTTCGCAGCTCTGAGACCTCCGTCTAGCATGAAAGACGCGGCCCCGTGCACTCGGGACATGCGCGGCAAGCCTGCTCGGTGAATTGAAGGATATGTGCTAATAGCCATATCTGATACAGAATTTGGAGTCAGAAGCAAAAGCCCCAATTATGACATCATTTCCATGAGAAGTGACAGCTCCATTCCCACAGTCATCTTTACACTGCATTTTCCAGGAATCCATTAGAGCTAATTGTTCTCCCAGTAGAATGCGACGGTTCTAGACCACCACCCACTGATCTCCCCTCGGGAACATCACATCCAGGTCTGGTTCCCTAGTGTGTTGCTGGGCTTGGGACCCTGCTTCCCATTTCTCGGTGAAAAGGTCCCTTTAGACCATGCCAAAACCCGGGGTCGCTCGCTTTTCAGGGTTTCTTCTGTATTGATTGTATCAACCCTAAAGAACGGGTCTGCAAAACACAGTCCTCCCGGGAAGGCAGGTCGCGCGATAATGACAGGTACCTTCGTCTACTCTCCCCTTTCTGCACACCTGCTTCCTCCAGCAGAGACACTGCCAAAGCGTGTCTCAGAGAACACGGGGTCTGGAAAGCTGGTTTCTGTGTGATACCCTGGAACTCTGCCCCCAGGCCACACCCTAGCATAGGACTGCAAGCCCACAGCTCCTGGTGAGAGACTTGGAGCGCATTCCCTACCTCTCCCCGCCTCAGTTCCTTCCGTAAGAGGGAAATAGGAAGGTGTGAGGGTTGCACAGGCAGAGCCTCCACCCAGAGCCATCATCGTTGTCACTGTCATCGTTGGGGATACTGCTGATGGCTTGTGTTCACATCGTCAGTGTCAGCGTCATTCACTGCCGGTGTCCCCGTTGATGATATAAAACTGGCTTAGACTTATCTCGGAACTTGGCTTGTTCACTTTATCTTAAAGGAATGGGCATAACTTCCAGGTGTGGAGAGTTGCTCACCAGAAATGAGATTTGTCCGTGTCCTGAGGAGGCAGACATGGCCCCTTGAGGCCCAAAGTCACTATGCACGTTACATGTCCTCAAAAAAGAAGAGAGGCAAACAATGGGAGGGACCGGGACCACACTTTGTCACTTGGTCACAACTCTGTCCCAGGATGTCAGCCCTCACTCTGTATGTGCAAGCCTGCCCGCACAGAGAGCACGGCCAGACACCCACTGCATGTGAGCCTGTAAAGCCAGGGGGGTGCCGTGGGGGAGGGGCAGAGGGACAGGGGCAAGGTGCAGTGACAGCAACCATTCCAGCTTACAGAAGCATAGGCTGCCCCTCTGCTGGTACCGCATGGCAGAATTAAGGTTTCGAGGGACTGCGTGAAACCCAGACTCAAGTTGGAGAAATAGCTCCCCATGGAAGTCTTCAGCTTCCAAGTGTAGGTGTGGAGAGGTTCAGGAGATGGCACTGTTTGAAATATATCAGGTCTTCAGAGTAAGTAGGGAGGGTCCTGCATCACCAGGGTGCGAGGAGGCTAGACTGGGCACTGCCTCAGCCCCCCTACCACATACTGAGGCTATTGGAGCATCTTTGCCCAGAGGAAGGATCCTGAAGGGGTAGGAAACTCCTAGATACTCAAGGTGAAGTAGACTGCCCGCTGTTTCTGAGGGAGATGGGTGAACACTGAGCTGACCTAAAGAAGGGAGGACAGGATCCTACCAGAAGTCTGATGCTACCTGCGGGGTTAGCACTAGGTGGGCGGACTCAGGAGGAGCGCCCCCTGGCGGGGCTGCGGGTCTAAATTCTTTCTGCTCACTGTGCCACTAACAGTAGCACTTCCCTCCCTACAACCGCAGAGCCGAATGGCAGAAAGCCTCCGCCTGTTTGACTCCATCTGCAACAACAACTGGTTTATCAACACCTCGCTCATCCTCTTCCTGAACAAGAAAGACCTCCTGGCGGAGAAGATCCGGCGCATCCCGCTCAGTGTCTGCTTCCCAGAGTACAAGGGTCAGAACACGTACGAGGAGGCCGCGGTCTACATCCAGCGTCAGTTCGAGGACCTAAACCGCAACAAGGAGACCAAGGAGATCTACTCGCACTTCACCTGCGCCACCGACACCAGTAACATCCAGTTTGTTTTTGACGCGGTGACAGACGTCATTATACAAAACAATCTCAAGTACATCGGCCTTTGCTGAGGAGCCAGGCACGGCCCACTCGCCTGTGGTGAAACCCACGGGGTGTCACACACACCCCCCACCCCGGCTCATGCTAGAGAGGCCCAACCCCAGGGGCAGAAAACAGGGGGCTTGAAGGATGTGTCCCCACACACACACCCTCCCCAGCCTCTGCCTTCTTGGCCCTATGTTTCTGCAAACATAAATATATTTGGATAGATTGCTAGGTAGGTAGACACACAGACACACACGCACACCTGCACACCCTAGGATGGCGGAGTTCTCCAGAGTGTCGAGGTTTCCTGAAGTCTTAAGGAGCTGCTGTCACAAGTTCATTCCAAGGCCCTCGCCCCCTTCACTCTGCCTTCCTGAGTTGGCCCCACCCTGCAAGGGGGCTCACGTTGGACTGCTTGCGGGGGCAGGGAGAGGCTACAGGACTGGGACTAGGTCCGGCCCACTGTGCCCATTGCCTGGAAGGAGGCCAGCTCACAACTGAGCTCTGCACTGGGGACTACAGCTGACCAAGAGGGAGGCCCAGAGCAGGGACTGTGTGTACCTTCCCTGCTTGCCACGCCCAACTCAGCCACTCTGAGGAAGCAAGTGACTGGACGAGTCGGACCTCTAACCACTGGTGGCTCTTTTTAAACAGCTAAAACATATGCAGCAAAAATTAACCCAGGAAAATGAGTGGCATCGTTTATTTCAAACTAGGCCAGCTGGGTTTCCAGCTTCCTTCTGCTGGTCTGATGTTTTATAAATGGAAACCTGGTTTTTCTTCTCTAGCATCTTTTTTTTTTATTTTTATTTTTGGCCAAATTTTATGTTTTGCAGGAAAAAAAATCTACGGTTTCGGATGTGATTAAATATTCTTTTTTAAAATGCAGATTTTCAAAACACATTTCATTTCAGGTGTCCCTTTTGTGTCTGGCTTGCTGAGTATAGAAGTTGTCATCTGGACGATTCTGCTCCTCGGCTCCAAAGAATTCTGGGGCAAATGGCACCCCGACGCCAGCCTCATGGGACATAATGTACATAGGCCTCTGCAATGTCCTCTTGTAATTGGTGCCGTTTTCTGCTTTGTTTTTATTTAAGAAAAAAATAAATGTGATGTATTTACAGAAGGTTCTTTACCTAGGAGCGAATGAACAATAGCTAAATGTCTTGGTATTTAAAGTGTAAATTATCTATGGCTTTGCCAAATGAAGGAAGGGGAGGCAAAAGGTGGTACTCCCGGTCCCCGATACTCCAAGCCTGAGGTGGGCTGGGAGCTGCTCAGACTCCTGTGAAGGAAGCCCTGCGGGGACCATGCATTCCAGGCCTTGTAGCCCCCGGGCCCACAGGCACTGGTCCTGAAAGAGCCCCGGCTGTGTATAAATGCAAAAGCCCCGGCTGCCAAGGGGATGGACGGCACTAGAACCCTCGCCAAATCCCACTCAGCCCTTTGTTTGGTTCCCGTGAGTCCAAGGTCAATGTACAGAGTCTTGCAGCCATGGAGTTGAGATGTACAAAGGGAGAGAAGGGCGGATGAGCATATAAAAGTCAAAGATTGTCTACTTTAAGAAAATAAAATACCCTGAATGGAGCCAAACCTTGTTCCTGTGTGCTGTGTGTTGCTCGTGTATAGCTTAACTCGGTACCATGGAAAGCGGCTAGACACACCTGGGGTCTCTCCCACTCCTTCCCCACGTTTATAGACTTGCACAGGGAAGATCGTCTGGGGGCGAAAGTCGAGGAAGAATAAACGTAAAAGGGGGCAGCTACCAAAGAGAATAGAACTACCAGCCCCCCCGCCACAGGTGTGGTCTCGGATGATAGAAGGTTGCGCATGATGATGGTGCTGACCCCCTTCTGCTGTTCCCAAGACCCGCCCCCACCCCAGCCCTAGTCCTGCTTCCACTGTTACTGGGGCTCCTTAACCCATGGATAAGCTCTTCCGTGTTTGAGTTGGCTTCCCGGAAGGAAGGAAGTATAGGCAGATCTTAGGCTGCCCGCTAGCTGGCTTTTGTGTTCAGAGGTACTCAGGGTAGAACAGTGCGGATAAAAGTCATGGAGATACACCCAACAAGGGCCTGCTTCAAGCACGGTCACTCCTAGAATTAAAATAATACTCGGCACTTCTGCGGAAGGCCACCTTAGTCGGGGAAGCATCCTAAAATTGAAGTCAGAAATCAAGCAGTTGGGGGTGGTTTCCTCTCAAGTCAGCACAACTCACTGTTCTTCGTGGGGAACACAGGAGCAGGGTGCTGGGATCCCCACCCTGCACGGCATGCCCATGGGGCTGGGATCCAGCAGAAGGGATAGCATCACCCCGAAACGTCTCCCTCCGGGGAGAGCTCCAGACATAGGAGCATAGGGCAACTGGGCATAGGACAACTGACGTCCACACAAACGTGCTCAGATCTCAGATACGGATACACAGATCTGGGTCTGTGGTGCACCCAGCCTCCTATGTGGGAATCTCCTCCTTGTGTCCCCGTGTCACCAATGGGAAGAACCCAGGGGGGCCTTTTGTTCAAGGAGATAAAATATTCGACTGTAAGTCACTGAGACATCCTTTGTGCTTTCAATACCAACTGTGAAACAGAAAACTGATTTCACTGCGAGCATCTTTAACCTAAAAATACACAGCCGAAGGGAAAATGAAAGAGTCTGCCTCCTTTGGTGTGTGCAGGGAGCAGAGGAGCCCTGACCCAGGAAATGCCTTTCTGCTGGAGTCCCCTGGGCACCTTCTCTTGATCCCTCCCGACCCCCTTATTGATTACTTGTCCTGTTGCTATGGTTAAAATAACCGAGAAAGGCGACTGAAGGAAGGAGGGGTTTACTTCGGCTCACAGTTCGAGGTTTCAGGCCTTCATGGAGGGGAAGTCATAGCGGGAGGAGGAACTGATCACATTGCATGGAGGGGAAGTCATAGCGGGAGGAGGAACTGATCACATTGCATGGAGGGGAAGTCATAGCGGGAGGAGGAACTGATCACATTGCATGGAGGGGAAGTCATAGCGGGAGGAGGAACTGATCACATTGCATCCTACGGTCAGGAACGTGAGTGCCCACTTGCCCCTCTGTGTTCAGTCTAGAGCCTAGCACGTGGCATGCGCTATCCAGAATCAAAGTGAGTCTTCCCTCCTCTCCTTCCTCAATCTACATAATCTTTCACGAGCTTGTCCGGTGACTGAGCTAATCTATACTGACCATCACCCAGCATGCCCAGAGCCTTATCTTCTAGGAGAGTCTAGATCCTGCCAAGTTCATAGTCAATATCAACCATCGTGTCTTCCTCACAGACCTCTGCTCTGTGCACCATGATGGGCTCTCTGGGTGTCCACTACGGTTCACCTGTGGTGGGTCCCTCCTTCCCTCTTGTTTTCCAGCCTCACAGTCCTAGATATTTCCACCCTTCAGGGTCAAGCTTATGTCCACCTCAACCTGTCTGAAGGTCTTATCTCTCCCCATGTCCCCACCTTTCCACACTCACCCACTCCAGGTCAATTCCACTAATTCGGGTTGGTATGATATAGCAAGTTCCACTAATTCATTTGCAGGGTACTGTCTGACCCATCTTCCCCCGAGGGCACAGGCTGACCCTAGAGACCCAAGGAGAGGCCTACCAATAGCCAGCTTTAGCAGGGAAATTTATAGCAGGACTTACAAAGGAAATAAGTGAGAAGCTGATGATGAGAATAGCCGAAGGAACTAGCCCGCCCTCTGCGGGTACTGTCTAGCCTCTCTCCCGAGACACACCACCATCCGGGACTGCCACCTTCCTTGGTGGCTTGTGTGGTCGATGATGCGGGGCAGCCACGGTGGTTACAGTGATGCTGGCTGTCCTCAGCAGCTGTGCTCTGCACCCCACTCCTAAGAAGCTACGATTGTTGGTTCTGCTTTACAGACAAGGAAACGGCACGGGAAGGTGGCTCAGCAGCTGGAAAGGTCCTTGCACGAGGAACAGAGTTCGACTCAGCATTCTCATGAAAAGCTGGGCAACATGGTGAGGGTTTGTGATCCCAGTACTGGGGAGGGGGAAACAGACATATCCGTGGTGCTTACTAGCCAACTTAGCTGACATCCCACACACACATATATGCCTATTGCGTGCGAGCGTGCGTGCGTTCGTATGCCCTACCGGGACAACTTCCCACCACCAAGCAGCATAGCAAATGACTTGGCCGGTCTACAGCCCCAAAGGCTTGTATGTGGTCTTTCTAGGTCCTGAATAATAGCTGACACCCAAGACAAATGGGCAGAGAGTGGGCCCAGGTGGCACACGGGCAGATGTCACGGAGGGGCGGCACCACACCATGAGGATGAGCAGTCACCAGAGGCTGGGTGGCACTCTGGAGGACTCATCTCACCACAGAGGCCTAACAGGGAGCTTGGAACTGAGGTAGTTCCCGTGCCAGGTGCCAGCCAGCACAGCATAGAGTGTGGCCCCAGGGGACCCAGTCCCTATGGTAATTCCATTAGTAATAGGCTACTGTGAACCCTAGGGGATACTATGAAGACCTAATGGAAGGAGCTGAGAAAACCTGCTTGGCCCAAGAGATATGGTGAGGGTAAGTTCTGGGACCCTGGTACGTCTTGACAGGGGCTAGATAGGTAGCAGGTCTATCCTGCTGGAGATGCCAGGGGGTACGCAGAAACTAATGACAGCAGCGAGCCCAGAAACCAGCTAGGTCCTTGTAGCCAGGCGTTATCCTAGCTAAGGTCAGGGTCGGGAGAAGCTTGGACGGTCAGCCTGAGGACATGGGTGTGGTTTCAGATGCAGGAGGAGTGAGGGCTTCCTAGGGTACCTCGCAGGCCACCAGGAAACGTGCAGATGCCGCAGAAGAACAAGGGTGGCCTGCCTGGGGCTGAGGTACCCTGACGAAGGGGAAGTTTCTCCAGCAGCCCTTCACTTCAGGGAATAGCCGGTCCCCCACGGGTTCAGCTCACTGTGGGAACAGCTTCCCATATCTCAGTCAAACCCAGACAATACGACTCCGGCGAAGCTCCCTGCAGCACCGTAACCTTGCCAGGTTCAAAGCCGCATGCAGGCATCTTCCAGTGATGCCCGCTGCTCCCGCTGAGATCTCCGAAGCCAGGGAGTGATTTCCACAGATGGAGGATGTACTCCGTCACTGGCTGTTTGTGGGGACTTCTGGTTAGGAAGGGTACCTGGACCAACCTCCAGGGCCTGACCCAAGGCCAGGCAGCACACATCAGGGCCAGAGATGGTACATTATACTGCCACTGCTGTATTTGGGACAGTGCCTAAGAGACAGACTCAGCAGGAAGGAGTTACATGAAAAAGGACCAGACCAAACTCACCCAGATTCCCAGTCAATGCCTGAAATAAGAGGATCCTGGGTGGGCACTAGAGGCCACAAGTTTCTGGGGAACCTGGCCTGGCAGCCCCTTTGTGGCGTTTATTGCTTCTATTTGGGTTTCTCCTCTTATAACAGGGCAAGGACCCCTTAGGACATGAGAAGCCAGTCACTGAGACAGGCCTTAGTCCTGGAGCACCCCCTGCTGGTTATTCTGGGAACAAGTCAGACCTTGGTAGAGCCAAGGATTGAGAAGGAAAAAACCTGCAGGTATATCCACCTGCTAAACAACGTTAGCTACACACAAGACACTCCAGAGGCCAGGCACTGGTGGTGCCATAGAGCCTCAGGCACCAAGGGTGCCATGGTTAAAAAAAGGAAAACCTTCCAATGTGACCATGGGCAGGGAACCCCATAACATACGCTCCAAGCTAGCTGAGCACCCAGACAAACTACACAGGCTCCCACCAACTAGCTACTGCCCAAGGTCACATACTGGTAAGAGAGATGCTGAAGTAGAAGTCCATGCCCCACCCAGAAGCCCAGCTAGGACACCATGTGAGGTACACCCATACCAGCGAACCCAAAAGCCACAGCACCCAAGTGATCCCAAGATGCATCGCCCCAGGCTTCTGCCACACCGCCTCCCTCCCTCTGTCCATTTTCCCAGTCACCACCCCAGCCCTTGATGCCCGTCCCTCCACCAGGCTTCCCTGGCCTCTCTTCTGGGGACCTCATCCCCGGTGATCAACACCCATCAAGGCCTGTGGCAAAGAGCTGGTACCAAGATCTCCAGAAGGACTGTGCTCATTGGGTTTATCAGGACAATAGACACCCTACTCTTTGTTGTTGGGTTCTACAGGGAGATGAGGAGCATCTGAACCAACCCAGGACGCCAGAGCTTTCAGAACCCTGGCAGTATTGAGTGATAGGGTCTAGAAAGAAGATGGGCAAAGCTCCATTCAGGGTAAGACCTTCACAAGCTAAAAGTGAAAAATAAAGGCGCCTATTTCCTAGAAAACATGGCGGCATGTCTTCAAGAGCTCGGGATAATGGGCCTGTCTTTTGCAGCAATCCCCCTCCTCGGGGAAAAGCACAAAGGAAAAGCCAGTGAGACTGACTTCCAAATGTAGAACTTCAGGGTCAACAGATGAACAAATGATGAGAAGCTACCTATCTCGGTTACTTTTCCCATCGCCGTGATAAAAATACTCTTGACAAAAGCTGTTTAAGGAAGGGAAGGTTTATTTGGCTCACAGATCCAGGAATAGTCCATTAC